AATAATTTATATGTATATATAATATTGTACCTTATGTATTAAGTATGATATGTATTTATTTAAAATATTATATTATGTTATATTTATTTCTTATCATTCTTTTCAAAACGCTGCCCTATATATTAATTAGGATATGTATTTACATAAAATATAACAAAAACTAAAAACCTACATGGTGAAGAGATTGTTTCATCGAATCTTTTTTTTTTTTTTTTGCAGTATGTTAATTAATTCTCTTCATATATGAAGAGGCAAGGTCATCTAAATAGTGTTTCCCTTTGTATCATCATATGAATTAATTTCTCTTGATAGATAAAGAGATAATGCCATTTAAAATATATAGAAAAATGCTACCCTATGTGTTAATTAGGGGTATGCATTTATAAAAAAATAATAAAAATTTAAAACCGTAATATAGATGAAGAAATTGGTTCATCTAACTTTTTTTTTTTTTTTTTTCAACATGCTAATTAATTTCTTTTGGTATTTGAAGATGCAAGGCCATCTAAACAATGCTTCCCTTTGTACTATATGAATTAATTTTTCTTGATAGATGAAAAGGTAAAGCCATTTAAATATTGAAAAACAAAAAAAAATAATAATAATAATCCAACAAAAAGAAAATGAAGAGATAACTGTCGATTATTTAAACCCTTTATAAGAGATTAAAATAGAACTAATATAGGCAATCTAAATGAGACTTCAAAACCAATGATTTAAGCAACTTAATGTAATCTAAGTAAAATAGATAACAAAAAGTTGAATTTGTTGTGTATTTAAAAATAAATAAATAAATAAATAAGACTTCAAATTTCAGTCAAATAATAATGACTATGGCAACTAAATATATTTTAAAGTTTAATATGAACCACTAAAAAACTGGAAAAAGAACAAAGATAAAACTAAAATGACAAGATTTAATGTTATAAAATCAAAATATTATCAAACTGATTAATTGAAAAAGTTTTAAAACTCAAATTTATAATATATGAGAGCTTAATTTTTCAAATTGGAATTAATACATAGAAAATGCAATTTGAACTGTAAAAATACAAAATTACCTTAAGATTAAAAGGCATATTTTGGAGCAATATAGATTTAAAAACATATTTTCTAATACATAATGCAAACTACTCTGACATTTTTGTCCTCTAATTTAAATAACAAATATAATTTGTATTTTTTTAGAATAAATTTATTATAAAAATAGGATAATTATACATACACCCTCTTAATCAACACCCATCTCAACACCCAAGGCTAAAATGAGGAGGGGTAAATTTATAATTTTACTGTTCATATGCCTTGGGTGTTGAGATGGGTGTTGATTGAGAGGGTGTATGTATAATTGTCCATAAAAATATATACAAAAAGAAAACTACATAATATTAATATAAAATAAAAAAAATCAAATCCCATACACGCATGGGCTAAAATAACTAGAAAATAAATTAATAAAAATAATATTTAGTTTCATTTATTATTTGATTATAATTCTAAATCAACAAAAATGAAAGATTTGAAGAAATTTAATTATATTCTTATCTTTAACTCTATAATTTAGAGAAAAGAAAATATTGTATGAATTATTAATTGAGATAATGGTAAAAAAAATAAATTTTTTGAATTATGAGATGAAGATTAATAATGAATAATTTATGAATTTTCTTAATTTTTTTAATATGATTTTATATAACTTTTGAAAAAAATATTATCACCAATTATTAAAAGTAATTTAAAACTCAATCTTAATTACTTAATTTAAATATTTTAATAAAAATTATTATAAAATTTAAGAGTTGATAAAAAAA